GTAAGTGGGTATGAATGATGTCGTGGATAGTCGATGTACTGTAGTGATGGGGAGGTTTGGTTTGGATCTCTGCGGAGCTCAATTTCTAGGCTTTGAGCTGCAGAACGTTCTTCAGAATGAAAAATTTGATTCCTTACTGAACGGACCTGATCTCGAATTTTCGGTTGCGACATTTTGCGAAACTGGGGAGTTTGTCGTTGATCTAGGACGTTCTCTGTCCTCGTCGTCCAGCTGCTCAGTGCCAGCTCCAGTTACATCCGAATGCAGATTTGCACTCGACGGAACAGGAGTTATTTGAGATTCTGTATTTGAGTCTTCTTCAGTTGCTTGCATTGCATCTGGAAGATTCAACAAGTCGAATTGAACCACTCTTGACAAGAAACTCAAAACCGCTAATATTCAACGTACCTGGTGTGTTAGGCGTCGAGTCTGTTCCAGAGGATGCTTTGACATTTTCTTGAGTTGGTGTTTTGTCTTTGTCTTTATCAACTGCTGATGCAGGACTCAAAGCCTCAGAGGACTGATCGCCCGTTGCGAATTCAGCTTTGGACAATTTCTGGTGTTGATCGTCTTGTCCTTCACCATCCTCGTCACTCCCAACCGGACTCAGCTCTTCCTCTTCCTCTTCATCATAATCCCCTTCTTCTTCAGCTTCACTATGCGATATGAATTTAGGATAAACTGCTGAAAATCAGTAAATTTCAGTCGTGAACATATATCAACAGCTGACAATTTCCTCTATCCAATGAAGTCAAAAATCAGAAGTCGGAAGCTTCCAAATAAGCTTTAAGTATACTGATGGCCTTAACTGGTACCCATTAAATTTCTGTATTAATATGGTACTGCCCAACAGAGAGATCAAATATGCGGAGCTTGGCGGTGCAAAATACCTTTAGAAACATTGCTGGATGTNTCGAAATATTTTTATCACATCATCTTTCATACTGACGTTTATTTCCTGCTGATGTAACAGAATCACGATGTGTATCATCGCGTGAGGTTGATCGCGATTTATTGCTTTCAGGAGAGCGCGATTTCGATTTACATGATTCGGTGCGACTGTCCGCACGGACATAACGGTTATATAACTTTTGAAAGGTTTTCTCCACATCCTCCGGGGAAGATTTATCCTGGAAATCACAAAGGAATCAAAGTGAAACTTAAAATTTCACATTCATTTTTGCCACAATCTCATGGAGAGATCAATGAAATCAGCAAAATTTTGATGCATTCGACGTAATGAATATGCAGAATCATGTTTCGATTATCAATGCCTATCTTATGACACACAACTTTGACGTGAATGAATAATCTCATACTTGATCAGTCGAGAATCTTGACATAGACTTGTAATCTCTCTCAAAGCGTGGATTCCTATCCGATTCGCTGTAATAGCTCGGAGTTTGGGAGCGATATTCATAGCGTCCTATCGATGGGGCACGTCCTGTCGTCGTTGACGAATACGTGGGTCGTTTTGTCGAATATCTAATGGAAAATTTTTGAATTTTTACCTTCTGCGAGAAATTTTTCTTCTCCATATCAAAAATTTCCTCTCTATTATTCTGATTTTCTGAAGACGTGATCGAAAACAGAACTTATAATAATAAGATTACTATAACTAATATGAGTATTACCATTATTATGCTATATTATCACTGTTATTAACACTAAAATGAACTGACGAGAGAGCAAAACATCTTGAATAAAATAAGCATTCAAATAACTTTAACGTATCTTTCAAACACCTCACTGCTCAAAGAGTATCATCTGATTGCTGTCGTCAAATGAAGATGACTTTAATTTGTGACTTCAAATTCTCCAAAATAATAGTTCGAGTTCAGAAAGTTTAAATTGAACCGATGCAGTAGAACAAACTTACGGAGTGACTCGATCGTATGTACTAGCTGCATTCCCACTGCCGTAACTTCTTCCTGCTGCAGGCAAGCTAACATCGCTTAATGCAGATGCTGAAATAGTTCTTATTGTTTTCATGCAAAAGAAACAATCATACCAGCTCCACATAATATCAACCTCCCTTTCATAATCACCATGTGAAACTGTGAAAATGTTGGAACATTCGAAAATTACTGTCAGTCGGGAAATTTATACTGATCATCCCAATAAAAACGTCAGTAAACATCATTAAATAATCATGATAATCAAAAAAAACTGATCAGTAAATCAACTTGACGGATTCTAGACCTATCAGTAGCGTTAAGATCTTTTTCAACAATGAGCAGTGATATTTAGGAATTTGAAACATCAGAATGACAATCCTCACTTGAGCCATAAATTGAGGTTCGTCTCGGAATGAAGGTACTCGACGT